CTCCTGCCTCAGCCTCCTGAGTAGCTGGGATTACAGGCATGTGCCATCATGTCCAGCTAATCTTTTTTTTTTTTTTGTATTTTTAGTAGAGACGGGGTTTCACCATTTTGACCAGGATGGTCTTGATCTCTTGACCTCATGATCCACCCGCCTCGGCCTCCCAAAGTGCTGGGATTACAGGCGTCAGCCAATGCCCCCGGCTTAGCATTATACATTTTAACAGGAATGTAAGACCTCCATTCTCATAATAACTTAAATTTTAGAGATCCTTTTATTTAATCTCTATATTTTCACATATAAATCCATAATGTGTGTATTTACTATACATGAGGTACAGAAATACAATAGTGAATACAATTATAATATCTGGACCCATAGAATTTCTGGTCTGTTGGTATGCATTGATAAGGAAGCCAAGCATCAATTAAAATACATCCTACAAAGTATTTTGAAAAGCTGTACAAAGTGTCTATATGGCTGAAAGGAAATACCTAATTCACATAACCAAGAAAGGCCTTCAGCTTTCAAAGGGAATGCTTCCAGTTTTTGCCCGTTCAGTATGATATTGGCTGTGGATTTGTCATAAATAGCTTTTATTATTTTGAGATACATTTCATTGCTACCTAGTTTGTTATGAGTTTTTAGCATAAAAGGCTATTGAATTTTGTCAAATGCCTTCTCTGTATCTATTGAGATAATCATGTGGTTTTTGTCTTTGATTCTGCTTATGTGATGGATTATGTTTATAGATTTGCATATGTTGAACCAGCCTTGCATCCCTGGGATGAAGCCTTCTTGATCATGATGGATAAGCCTTTTGATGTGCTGTTGCAGAAAACTGAAACCAGACCCTTTCCTTACACCTTATACAAAAATTAACTCAAGATGGATTAAAGATTTAAACATAAGACCTAACACCATAAAAACACTAGAAGAAAACATAGGCAATATCATTCAGGACATGGGCACAGGCAAGGACTTCATGACTAAAACACCAAAAGCAATGGCAACAAAAGCCAAAACAGATAAATTGGATATAATTAAACTTAAGAGCTTCTGCACAGAAAAGAAACAATCATTAGAGTGAACAGGTAAGCAACAGAATGGGAAAAAATTTTTGCAAGCTACCCCTCTGACAAAGGTCTAATATCCAGAATCTACAAAGAACCTACACAAATTTACAAGAAAAAAAACAAAAATAAATAAAAAAATGGGTGAAAGATATGAACAGACACTTTTCAAAAGAAGACAACTATGCAGCCAAGAAACATATGAAAAAATGCTTATCATCATTGGTCATTAGAGAAATGCAAATCAAAACCACATTGAGATACCATCTCACACCTGTTAGAACAGCGATCATTAAAAACTTTGGAGACAACAGATGCTGGAGAGGATGTGGAGAAATAGGAATACTTTTTCTATTCCTGTTGGTGGGAGTGTAAATTAGTTCAACCACTGTGGAAGACAGTGTGGCGATTCCTCAAGGATCTAGAAATAGAAATACCATTTGACCCAGCAATCCCATTACTGGGTATATACCCAAAGGATTATAAATCATTCTATTATAGAGACACATGTATATATATGTTCATTGTGGCACTGTTTACAATAGCCAAGATGTGGAACCAAACCAAATGCCCATCAAAGATAGACTGGATGGCACAAAAACACCATGGAATACTATAGAGCCATAAAGAAGGATGAGTTCATGTCCTTTGCAGGGACATGGATGAATCTGAAAACTATCATTCTCAGCAAACTGACACAAGAACAGAAAACCAAATACCATATGTTCTCACTCATAAGTGGGTGTTGAACAATGAGAACACATAGACACAGGGAGGGGAACATCACACACTGGAGTCTGTTGGGGGGTGAGGATCTAGGGGAGAGATAGCAGGGGGTGGGGAGATTGGGAAGGCATAACATTAGGAGAAATACCTAACGTAGGTGATGGGGGGATGGAGGTAGCAAACCATCATGGCATGTGTATACCTATGTAACAATCCTGCAAGATCTGCACATGTATCCCAGAGCTTAAAGTAAAATTTAAAAAAAAAAAAAAAAGAAAGGCCTCTAGTAGAAAAAGAATAGTAGGAAACAGTCAAACGAAGGTACCAGTAAAGATCAAGAAAGACAAGGGTTTTGATCAGAGAAAGGATGGTGGATTTAGGGAATCAAAAAATCTTGGTAGATGGTAATGTTAGAGTATAAAGTATAGAGTGTTGTAAGATAGGCCAGGCGGGCACAGTAGCCGATGCCTGTAATTCCAGCACTTTGGGAGGTGGAGGTAGGTGAACCATTTGATGTCAGGAATTCAAGACCAGTCTGGCCAACATGGTGAAACCCCATCTCTACTAAAAATACAAAAGCAAAAAAAATTAGCTTAGCATGGTGGCACATGCCTGTAATCTCAGCTACTTGGGAGCCTGAAGCAAGAGAATCGCTTGAACCTGGGAGGCGGAGGTTACAGTGAGTTGAGATCATTCCATTGCACTCTAGCCTGGGCAACAAAGTGAGATTCTATCTCAAAGAAAAAAATTAATTAGTGTATGGATGAGAGAAAGTATTATAAATGGTAATGGTAGAGTGTGAAGTATAGAGTGTCTTAAAATAAAACTGAAGCTTTA